TTAAATTTTCTTTTGGTCATTGTGTTCTATTTGCTCGGTTGAGCTGATTTAAAAAGATCACATAGGCTTTTCTGATGCATTAATGTATTAATTATTTACTTTTGTCTGTTGAAATGGACACCATGAGGCAAATCAAGTTGAAAAGGATTATTTGTCTTCACAAAATACCAACGTACAGATGCGCCAGATGACATACTTTGCCGTATAAAATGTCTCTGTTGTCTTAAAGTCAATTCCTCTTTTGCTCTAGCAACTGTTCAAGAAAGTAGTGCCTCACCATTGCCTGGGCTGCATTTGGTCTCAAAGGGATAAGAAGGAAAACAAACATTTGGCTCCTACGATCCATGCTACCATCTCTCAGTTTAATACCCTCACCAAATGTGTTGTCAGCACCATCCTGGGGGGCAAAGAACTCAAAACTCAGCAGAGAGCCAGAATCATTGAGAAGTGGATTAACATTGCTCGTGTAATTGTCTTTTCAAAATTATTCTTTGTGTTTAGTAGATATTAGAGCCTACTCTCATTACTTTGTTTAAATGGTTTAGCCATTTGGTTGGAAAGGCTGTCAAAAGACTCTATGTTGAGGGCCCATTTGGTGGTGGTGGTTGTTTTTGTTATTCTAAAGTAAGGAAAAAAGTTGCCTTTCTTAACTTGGGAGCTTATTTATTTTTCCTCTTAAAAAAAAAAATGTTCCCCCGCTAGCTTCTTTCTCCTGTGGGCCCCCACACTGCTGCTTTTCCAGGGAGAGACATTCTGTCTACTTTTTCCTTTGTGTTTACCATGGGCTGTCAGTCTCTTCCCCACTTTCAGTGAATATAACCAAGGGTCTGCATGTTAAACAGACTGCTTTTCAACCCAAAATGATTACCCATGCCCCCTTCCAGTACCTGGAAGCATTACATCTTCTGCAGATTTGAAGAGCTGGTACCTTCTCAGAATCCTGAATCTCTTCTCTTAAGAACTGAAACACTTAGGCAGATCTCACATCCATCTGAGTCCTTTCTGAAGTTGGAGGGGGGAATGTGTTCCTAGGCCTGAATTACATTCTGCTGTTCAGTGGCTGGTCTCTCGGTTCAGTTTTTTACATGCTATATGACTTTCATTTATCAGCATGTTATGTCGTGACTGAGGAAATGTCAAAAGTATTCAGTCAATGGTTACCATATATTTTGTGAGCTCCTGAGGTTTGTAAGCTACAATATTATATACTTTATGGACATAGCAGGATAGAACAGTCTCCGCCTGGGCAGTAGAGGAGTAGGGCTGTGTGAGATGAGTACTGTTAAAGTGGATGAGAGAGAAAGTACTGGTTGGGGTGATCAAGGATGGCTTCATGGATGAGGTGACATTTGAATTCAGCTTTGAATAGTAGTTAGGATTTTGGGTATTTGAAGATTCGAGAAGGCATTTTTTTGTCTAGGCAGAAGAAATTACCTCAGCAAAACAATGATTTTGCAAAAGAATTACTATGTAAATATCTTATTAGTTTTTGTTCTGGGCTACATGGGTCAACCCTCGACCAAAACACATTTTGCTTTATATCCCAGTAGATGTGTTTTTCATTAATCCCCTATCTGTAGGTCATAATGCCTAAGCCTTTCTTTTGGTGGCTGGCCTGTTACAGGGATCGAACCCTGGACCTTGGTGTCATCAGCACCACACTCCAACCCACTGAGTAACTGGCCAGCCCATCCCTATGCCTTTCATATTCTCTTTTATTGTCTTTGATTAAAGAGCAAGGACATAATTGTGCCAGAGAATTTGCCTTGTTTTCCTTGTTTTGAGTCTTTACGTAGTCTGTCACTACAGGATTTTTAGTATATGAAAAAAAAATGAACAAGAAACATAAGACTATAAGTTGCATTAGTAACTTACATTTCTCCTATTCTAAATTGAGCCTATTTCTCAACAAGTAAAAGTTACAAAAGAGGTTCTGATATAGTTTTATATAGCATGGAATTTCTCCATCTTAGAATGAGAAAGTATTTCTGCCATAAATGCCACAGCATTTACAATCTTTTACACATCTGAAAAGCAACTGGTCTGTCTACCCCCAATCCATTCAACTGCTTAGAAAGTCTATAGCAAGAATATCGCATCTGTGTGTATGACATAGTGTGGCTCAAACAGATGACTTTTGGTAAAAATTATAAATTAGGCATTTATGTGGTAATAAGAAATACAACTTGAATAATTTGAAGTATATTCCAAATACCATAGCATATGCAAAAAAGCCAAGTGTCCTTCCTCTTGGTGGTATAATTTCCTAATATTGAGTAGATTGTGTCTCTGGAAATTGTGTAGGGTAAATTAATAAAATAACAAAACTCCCAGGTGGTTTCCTGCCAAGATTTATTTTACTTTTCCTACATTCATCACAGTCAATTTCTGTTGATAGGATGTTTGAAAAATGGTCATTTTATATGCAGAAAAATTGTCCGACTTAATATTACTGTGTTTTCTGGGACAGAAAAATTGTCCGACTTAATATTACTGTGTTTTCTGGGACTGGTCCTAATGCTACATTTTTACTTTTGCATCACATATCCTGGAAGATACCTTCTTTTCTAGAAATGGGACCAGATGCCTTTTGCACTCCTTTAAAGCCCTTGTTTAAACCTCTTTCTGAATAATGTGTTCCATATGTTTATTACAAATTACATGATATATCTGTGCCTGAGTTCCTTTATTTATTGCAAGTTTCCTGATTTTTAGAATATAGCTCTTGGATTCTGAACCTTTGCTGAACCATGCTCTCATAGGCTTGGTTTCCAGACTGCAATGCAGAGCCTTTTTTTTTTTTCTTCTTCTTCTTTCTTTCTGTTTAAATAAGGGGAGGACATTGAGGCATTTGAAAAGGGTGGGCATGTCTTCTTTAAATACTTCAGCATTTACTGTAAAGAAAATGTTTGAAGGTTTGTTTGGCATAGTTTTCAGTAGTCAGATTTTGGCATGCTAAATTAGCGAATGCTGTTTTCCCTTCGTATTCAGGATTAGCATTACTTCATGAAATGATCCTTGAAGCGATTTGCATTTATGCCGAACCACTCTGGGACCTCTTGCCCCAGATGTTCTGCACAAAGCCAAACACATGCTCACTTGGTATATTAGTTGAAACCCTGGATGTATTACACCCCCATGTGCCTGTATAAGAAGCATCTCCTATGACATAAGGCATAGTCCACTCTCCCCATGTTGCCACCCTCTCCATGCCAGCCAAGAATGAGGCCCTCTCCCTGGCTGTTTTCTGTCACTGCTATGCATCCAGCAGGACTTAGACTCCAAGGTCACTGACTGCTGATGCTACAGGCTCCTTATGGTAGCTTATGTTTAAGCAGGGAGCTTTCTTCTTACCCAGAAAATGACATCCAGAATGTTTCCTGTTCTCTTTCTATTCTGTTTTCAAACACTCCCCAAATGAATTTTATTTTAAAATCCCAAATTATTTTGGAAGCATTGAAGTACGAAGGTGTTTCTGAATGTTTATGGTTGCAGGAAAAGCCAATTTGAAATGAATGTGTATAAAAATATTCCCCATTGGCTAAAAGCATAAAAGCCGAAGTTCAACTTGTGAATTTTTATTGCCAAGTTATATACACCTCTCTGGACAAGGGTTGGTCATGAGATGTCTGATACCATCTGACCTTGACTTGGCTGCTGCCCAGTTTGCTTTGTGGGTCTAAAGGATACAGCGATCTTTCATGTGTATTTTTAGGGTATCTGTGTGCTTTCAGCAGAAGAAAGTTGATTTCTCTAGCATAGGTCTGTGGACTCACCTCCATTAGTGTTTTTACTAGAAAAGCTGGAAACTATAAAACTGTAACAACAACACAAAAAATATGTTGAAGGGAGAAAAACAAGCATACAGTGCCAAAATCTATAAAGTGTTTCAGTGACTGGGGTGGGAGGAAGGAGCCACTTTTTGATGTTCGGTATTTATACAGCTGCCTATTTAGTGGTAAGAATTCATAGCAGCTGTGATACCTCTGCAGCTGGAAACCACCAAGTCACTGTAATATTGATATTTAAATGTCTTTTATGTTTTAATCACACTCCATACAGGAATGTAGAATCCTGAAGGCCATCGTTTCAGCACTGCAGTCTAATTCCTTCTATCGGTTAAAAAAGGCTTGGGCTGCCGTCCCGAAGTAAGTTCCCAAGTGTCTGCTCTACTTTTCTTTGGCTGGGGTGGTTGGTTGCTGCATCAGTGCTATGGGTCCTCACCTTCAGGGCTCATATTATATAACTAGAGAAACATATTTGAAATCCTCTGTGTTTTCCAGGTGGGATGCCTTTTACTCATGATCATTAACGAGTTTTGAGGCAGGGCTGCTGCAGAAATCAAACTCCTCAAAGTGGGACAAAGCCAAGATCATTGGCTTTTGGCATAATTTGAAGGATGTGCTTATTATTTGGATTTGAGAGTTAAGGCTGTGGCGTGATGAAGTTATAGCAATTTGCCTTTACTTCTGGTTGTTTTTCAGCCTCGTTCCAAAGCCCTGAGCTATTCCAGGATGCAAGGGATAATGTGTGCCGATAAGATATTTGTTGTTGCTGTGCAACAGGAAACTATTTAATCCTTTTCTGCCTCAGCATATTAAAAGTTGTCTTAGTGATGTTAAAAAACCTTTTAAGTGTTCCTTCCTAGGTACTGGACTGAAATTACTAACTGGCCACATTCTGTGCTGCTTTTCTCCATATTTCTTCATATGATCTTTAGAACAACTAACCATTTAATTTCCTTATTATTTCACTATTACTATCTCCTCATTTTTCAGAACCTCAGTTGCAAGAGGGGTCTTCAGATAGTTCATGGGAAGATTTTAATTATCTTGTAATTCATTTTTTTGCTCGAGCTTTCTGAAGTATCCCCATAGATTGGAGAACTTTTTGCAAAAGAAGAAAGGGTGAGGGAGGGGGCAGTTCTGGTCCCATAGCAGTACAGATTCAGAGGTTGGCGGTTGTGTTGTGGGCACCAGCTAGGCCAGCTACCTTCGACAAGTCTACCTAGGTTTGAACTAGTCCAGAAGTCAGGCTATATCAGGGAAGAATGTGTAAGCTCTGTATAGTTTGTATTGTATGCATTGTAGTTAGCTTTAGTCAGGAGTGAGGCCAGCTGGCTCCTTAGCCATGGCTGCGCTGGTGGAATTGGTGGGTTTGTCCTCAGAGTAGGTCTGGAGAATCAGTTTCATCAATTCACTCAGAACTGATTAAGCCGTAAGGGACTGACACTATTCAAACTTGTAGGAGACTCATATTGGTAAACCAGCATTTCGTAAATTTGTGCTGAAAAATGAGTGCCAAAGTACTCAAACATATTGATGACTATTATTCAGGGAATAGTCTACTTTGGAAAGTCAAATTATCTATTAAGTAATTCTTTAAGGGGTAAAAAAAAAATAATAATTAAAGTGATGACCTTAATACCTCATGTCACAGAACTGTAGAAGCCACAGGCCACGTGGACTCCAGAGCTCGTGCTTTGTTTATAACAGCGTTATCTATCGGTAGAAGCATATAGGCAGATAGGCTTTTCAAAGTCCAGTGCAATTTTTGATTACCACTCCTGTCTTGGTTCTTTCTCCTCTTTATTATTTTGAACGGTGAAGGTGACTCTGTGTTTGTGAAAGAGAGATTAGTTGATTGATCTTTCTCTGCACATGCATCTTATGAAAGAAATGGGCCGTATAAAATCATTGGTGAAATATGATGGAAAATCAGAAACATACAGTGTCCTCATCATCCACACCCCCACATCACCTCTTCTTCCCCTCATCACAGTGCCCCACCCAACTGTGGTATCAAAAGCAGAGGGATGGTCAGGTTTTAAAATGCAGCCTTGCCCTATTGCCACCTTGTGTGATTGCACTGAAAGGTAATCCTGTCTGTCTTTGGTGGTTGATACATAGAACACTATGGAAAGTCAACTAGGCAGCCTAAGATTTCTTCCACAGCCAGTCTGAGGCCAAAACACAAGTAAAAACGTAGGTGGATTTGTATCTTAGTCTCTTTTGTTGTCATATGAGAATTAAATCATTTAACTTAAATTATTTCAAATTATTAAAATGCCAGCTGGCTTTTAAAAACTATTAGTGCTAGGCCTCTGTAATTAACAATAATTGGTTGTATGTTCTCAGATGGCTAGAAGAGAGGAGCTCAAATGCTCTCATTACAAAGAATTGATAAATTTTTCCGATGATAAATATGCTCATTACCATGATATGATCATCACACATTATTTACATGTATTGAAATATAATTCTGTATTCCATAAATATGTGCAATCAATACATGTCAATTAAAAATAAACTTAAAAGAATAAACAGAAAACCCTCAAATCTGCATTCTGTGTAATGTGGGTGTCTAGTTTGTTTCTTGGTTGGCTGGTGGGTGTATGTTTTAGCAGGGACACTACAGAAGTGTCACTTCCTTAGAAAAGACATTTCTACATCAGCTTTACATACTCTCCATTGCCAAGGGACAAAGTTAAGATATCTTATTTGAGTATCGCTTCCCCTATAATCCCTTACATTTCTAGCTTTCAGTAGACAGAAAGGATGCCTATTTATTCTTCTTTATTTGGGGCCACATGTCATTAAATTCTTAATTATTATCTCCGAAATATAAATAGCTTTAATAGTTTTCTTTATTATAAGAGTAATATTACACTCATTGTAAAGCAAACAGGTTTTTAATAATGGCTTTTTCATGGTAATGGAAATGTTGCATATACTTGTACAGTGATACTGCCCCTGTTAATTCTTTGCCTTGAGAATCATGCACTCAGTAGCCCTGGAAGGGTACATAGAGAAAAGTACTGGATGGGGCAAGGGCAGAGCAGGTGCCTTACGTATGTGATCCCACTTACTTTCACAGCAATCCCATGAGGGGTGCTAATATTTACATTGTACAGATAAGAAAATTGAAGCAGCTTGCCCAGGATCACTCAGGAAGTGAATGACAGAGTTGGGATTCGAACCCACCTGCTCTGGCTGCAGAGCCTGTCATGGCTCCACCATTTTGCTCTGAGAGGAAGAACATTAGCCCATGATCCAGAAAATTGGGGTTCTATACCTGCAACTCTTAGCAGTTCCTAGTGGAAACTTGAGCAAATCCCTGGCCCTGACATCTTCATCTCTAAAATTAAGGGCCTGGCCAAGATGACCTCTCAGGTTCCACTGGGCTCTGTGTGTGTTGCTAAGGTAGATTTTTTTTAAAAAAGTACTGAAGAGAACTTGTCCCAGTTGAATGACTTGATGCTCTAATTGAGTATTCCTTTTTAATGATTATAACATGCATGGTTAGAAAATATTCCTCTCTTCTCACAAGGACCCATGTCCATCTTAAAAACATAAAAACCATCCTGCATAAAAAAGTCATTGGCTGGGCCGGCCCGGTGGCGCACGGGAGAGTGCGCCGCTCTCCCGCCGAGGGTTCGGATCCCATGTGGAGACCGGTTCCTGCTCACTGGCTGAGCGCGGTGTGGGCGCTGCACCGAGGGTTGCGATCCCGGTGCCAGTCCCCGGTGTGGGTGCGACACTGAGGGTTGCGATCCCGTTACCGGTCAGTAAAAAAAAAAGACAAAAAGGAAAAAAAAAAAGTCATTGGCTTCATCTGTGCTCATATTGCCCACCAGTCCTGGGATCAGCACAATCCCTCCGTAGCCATAGGTACTGAAGACAGCTAGGCCAAAGGTGTCAGGTTTTTACTAATTCTTCATTTTTAATTTCTTTTTTTTTTTTTTCCTTTTTGTCTTTTTTCGTGTCCGGCAACGGATCGCAACCCTCGGTGCTGCGCCCGCACCTTGCTCAGCCAGTGAGCGGGAACCGGTCTGTATGTGGGATCCGAACCCTCGGCGGGAGCGCCGCCGTGCTCCCAAGCGGTGCACTGTAGCAGCGTGCCACCGGGCCGGCCCTTCAGTGTTAATTTCTTAATCTCTCTTTGTAGGGACCGAATGCTGATGTTTGAAGGACTTTCAGATATCTTCTCAGACCATAATAACCATTTGACCAGCCGGGAACTACTGATGAAGGTGAGGGTCTTGGTGAGAGCACTGGGCAGCAATGCTGATGGCTCTGGAATCCATTCAAGGGAAGAGTAGGTTGAGGGCTCCTTAAATGCCTTCAGCCCCCAGAGAAAGCCTAAGGTGAATAGAAGGAAGAAATTTTGTTATGTAGAATCTAAGAAACTTGTGGCGCAGAAAATTTGAAGTCCAGCTGAGTTCTCTCCTTCTACTCTCCTTAGCTTCCCCGTTATGCAACCAGATTGTGAAACTTGAGTTTATATGTGTACTTCTTTAACAAGCTACTCTGCAAATACTGAGTGCTAGCAGTTAGGTGGATGAGAGGCCCTGGAATATTCCTTCTCAGCAAAACCTCCTAAAATGACAGAGGCCAAGCCAACAATTCCACATCCTTTATCTGGACTGAATTGCACAATCTGTCAGTCAGCAATATTTATTGAACAGCATATGAGAGCTAACTTTTGAACTACGCTAGGTAAAGTTATAGCTCGGTTCATTTTACTTCTTCAGACATTTGCCGATTGTCTAATATTTGTAAAGTATTGAACCTGCCTATAGAAATAAGATGATGACTGACACATACCTTGTTTCCAGGAGTTCACCATCTAGTTGGTGGCTGGTATAGACACTAAACAATGAGAATAGGTAGTGAAAAAAATAAAAATAAGAGGTTGTGAACAATCAGTCTTCAGCAACTAAGACAGGCCACATGCTATACCCACAGCTTTTCTATAAAGTGGATTTTATCATCCTCATCTTGTGGGTAGCCAAGACCTAGAGAGGGAAGTAATATGCCCTAAGGCCTAAACCCAACCTAGTGAGAGTTGAAAACCTGTGGGGTTTTTTGTTTCTGGCCAGTCCAGGGATCTGAACCCTTGACCTTGGTGTTATAACATGGTGCTCTAACCAAGTGAGCTACCTGGCCAGCCCTAAACCTGTGCTTTTATCATGTAGGCATAAAGTTATTTCTTCTGACCCCTTGGGAGTAGGGGGCAGGATGGATCAGGTGTAGGTTCACAGAGAAGGTAAATCAGTAAGTCAACAAATATTGATTGAGCACTTATGTGCTAGGTGTTAGAGATATAACCATCTTAAAGGGATGATCTTAAAGGGATTATGCCTGATCTTAAAGGGATTACAGTGTCATGGAGAGCAGCAGAAAAGTAGATAATTATAAAATAGTATGATATGTCTTGCCATAGAGGGAAGCCCTGAACTGAGCAATTAGAAGATATGATCCTTGTCTTTAATCTCTTCTTCTCTAAATTGGAAACAATAATAGTATTGGTCAGTTGACCTCATAGAATTGCTTTGAAGATTGACTATGGCAAAATATTGGAAAGCACTATGCAAATTTCAGTTATTTTTAGTATTTGGTGAGTTATACACATATAAAACTGAAGTATGCATAACACATGAAAATGAACAGAGGATAAGCTGCATATTTGAGCTTAGGGAGGATGCTTGGAGTAGGGATGAAGTCGCGTGCAGGTAGGGTTACTAAGAAAAGGCATCCACTTGGTAACTCTTAGATAGTCATTTCTGTGAGGGCATCGGTTACAGTCTTCATGACTGTTCTCCCACGTCCTGCTCATCCTTCGTGTCTCAGTGTGGACTCCCCTTTTTCAGGTCTGATTAAGTGCCTTCCTATGTGCCCCAGGAGAAGCCTGCCGTTCTTCTGCCTTGGCACCTATCACATGTTCTATGGCTTATAAACCTCTTGCAGGCAGAGACTTTACACGTCTTTTTGGCTTTTGTATTCCTCATGCCTAATGCAGTGCCTGGCATGTAGTCGATATTCAGAAACTGTTGTTTGACTGCATGAATGTGTGTCTTATCATTCGCATGATTTGGACAGTGTGCCCACTGTTAGCCCTTCTTGGAGTAGATGGTATAAGTAGGGCAGTTTATGCTGATGTCTAACTTTGGATTTGGACTGCCTGATTAACTGCACACTGAACAATGACTTCTGAGATCATGTCACTCCCTGCTTCACATCCCCCTAGATTTGCAGACTTTAAATGGAAACCCATCTGGCTGGAAGGAGATGGCTTAGTGGTCTCCCTGTCAGTAATATGAAGCTAGACTAACTGGAGCCACCCATTTGAATCCCAATTGCCCTGAGTCATCCTTCCAAAGTACATAAATCGAATACGGCGCAGCTCATTGCTTGGTGGCAGTCTTCTGGCTGAAACCTTAGACGCAAAGCTACATCTAGACTTTAAAGATCCCATAAACCTTTCTTAAATGTAGAAGTTTACACCAGTACTCTAAGTTAAATTTCTTTTATATGGCTCAAATCCCAAAGAAATGAAAAACTTGGCTATGAGTTCATGTGGTCTGTACATTATCATTAATGACAGTAGAATGCTTTGGGCAGTCCACATGTATATGGCAGGTCTCTTTCCAGTCATTTTTGTTGATCATTCTTCATATGAAATGTGTAATTCTGGGTGTTAATTCTCAGCACAGTTGTGAAAAAATGAAGTCAAGATACTTAGATTCTCAAAAGAAACTCCAGGAAAAACTCCTGGCCTTTGTTACTAATATGTTACTCCTGGACTTATACCAATTTATAGCTGGGTAATCGTAGCATCACTTCTTAGCCTTTTGGCTAAGATCAAGTGTAATGACTGTTCTTTTCAGATTAATATAGTTGGGTAATCTTAGTTTTAAAGGACCTATCTTCTCTTCTACTTCTGGGTAGATGTAAATAATATATTATTACTTCCATGTTATGGACCAGGTAACATAATTAGCAAAAATCTGTGGTTTTCCTTTTAATTGTTAGAAAAATATTTTTATTTCTTCTCAAAGATTTTCTTAAACCTGTTATGTCCTTATGATTTCTGAAACTTAGATAATTTTAAGCAGATGAATTATAGAGTTTACAAATTTCAAAACAACAGGAAAGCAGAATGTTACCAAGTCTTCTCGGTTTTGTGACTCTTGGTGGGAATTTTCCCTGATTGAATTGATATAAAAAACTGCTAGAAAGCCCCAGAAATTTGACTCTGGTGGAGACGTATGTTCAGTGAAGCTCCAAAACATGCTAAAGTCAGAATTGGAGGGAGAGACTGTTGGAACTGTGAAGACCTAGTCAAATAAAAATTATCAGTAGCTTCTGAGCTGTCATTTAAGCAGCATTTACTGAGATGGATCTAGTGCCGAGTAGACAAGAACTAGTAGCCGAGGTCCCTCTAAGGCCCAGGAACAGTACGGATGAGGGCAGCTGAACCCTGGCAAAGATGGAGATAGAGAAAAGATGAGACTCAGGCAGGAAATCTGCACTAGAGAGGGTGAGAGAGAAGGACAGGGAGAGAGACTAGAAGAAAGAGAGGGCAGGGGAGATCTATGGAGGGAGAGGGAGAGATTCGGAGTTCATTCAAACACAGGGGATGATTAAAGTCATGGGATTGGATGGTATTTCCAAAGACGTGAGTATAGTGAAACACAAAGAAGATGGCTTTGGCAGAAAGAAGAGTCTCTAAGAGGATATGAGCATAAGCAGCAAAGGAGGCAGGAGGAAGGAACGAGAGTGATGCAGCCACAGAAGCCTGTGACATGTTTCAGGAAGGTTCAAGGGACTGCTGGTGTTATGAGACATTGTGGGGTAGGGGATTTGGGGCCGAGAAAGGAGAAAACCGAATCCGTGGATGTAGCAAACCAGTGGATTTTCAGCGGACACTTTGTTTGGAAGAATTTGCACTAGACAGTCCTTCTAGTGCTTCAGCCAGGGATGGACTCTCATTCTCATGAAATCATGATGTCGTGAAATCAGCAAGTCTTGTAGCTCCCCGTGTCAGGTCTCTCTCTCTCCTACCAGTGAGGAGGTTGTCCTAAGTGCTCTTTTAAGATCCCTCCCACCTCTGTTATTCTGCGATTATTAGGAGCCCTTTAACTTTTCACAAGTCCTTACTGAGTTTTAAATATATCTGTAATAATTTGCCTATGTTAGTCTTCTGCTGTGATTGTGAGACTGGAAGGAGACCAGGGGGACCTCCACGTTGGANATAAGATGATGACTGACACATACCTTGTTTCCAGGAGTTCACCATCTAGTTGGTGGCTGGCTATAGACACTAAACAATGACAATAAGTAGTCAAAAAAATAAAAATAAGAGGTTGTGAACAATCAGTCGTCAGAAACTAAGACAGGCCACATGCTATACCCACAGCTTTTCTATAAAGTGGATTTTATCATCCTCATTTTGCAGGTAGCCAAGACCTAGAGAGGGAAGTAATATGCCCTAAGGCCCAAACCCAACCTAGTGAGAGTCCAAAACCTGTGGGGTTTTTGGTTTTTGGCAGCTGGCCAGTCCAGGGATCTGAACCCTTGACCTTGGTGTTATAACACTGTGCTCTAACCAAGTGAGCTACCTGGCCGGCCCTATAAAACCTGTGCTTTTATCATGTAGGCATAAAGTTATTTCTTCTCACCCCTTGGGGGTAGGGGGCAGCATGGATCAGGTGTAGCTTCACAGAGAAGGTAAATCAGTAAGTTAACAAATATTGATTGAGCACTTATGTGCTCGGTGTTACAGATAAAACCATCTTAAAGGGATGATCTTAAAGGGATTACACCTGATCTTAAAGGGACAGTGTCATGGAGAGAAGCAGAAAAGTAGACAGTTATAAAATAGTATGATATGTCTTGCCATAGAGGGAAGCCCTGAACTGAGCAATTAGAAGATATGATCCTTGTCTTTAATCTCTTCTTCTATGAATTGGAAACAATAATAGTATTGGTCAGTTGACCTCATAGAATTGCTTTGAAGATTGACTATGGGAAAATATTGGAAAGCACTATGCAAATTTCAGTTATTTTTAGTATTTGGTGAGTTATACACATATAAAACTGAAGTATGCATAACACATGAAAATGAACAGAGGATAAGCTGCATATTTGAGCTTAGGGAGGATGCTTGGAGTAGGGATGAAGTCGCGTGCAGGTAGGGTTACTAAGAAAAGGCATCCACTTGGTAACTCTTAGATAGTCATTTCTGTGAGGGCATCGGTTACAGTCTTCATGACTGTTCTCCCACGTCCTGCTCATCCTTCGTGTCTCAGTGTGGACTCCCCTTTTTCAGGTCTGATTAAGTGCCTTCCTATGTGCCCCAGGAGAAGCCTGCCGTTCTTCTGCCTTGGCACCTATCACATGTTCTATGGCTTATAAACCTCTTGCAGGCAGAGACTTTACACGTCTTTTTGGCTTTTGTATTCCTCATGCCTAATGCAGTGCCTGGCATGTAGTCGATATTCAGAAACTGTTGTTTGACTGCATGAATGTGTGTCTTATCATTCGCATGATTTGGACAGTGTGCCCACTGTTAGCCCTTCTTGGAGTAGATGGTATAAGTAGGGCAGTTTATGCTGATGTCTAACTTTGGATTTGGACTGCCTGATTAACTGCACACTGAACAATGACTTCTGAGATCATGTCACTCCCTGCTTCACATCCCCCTAGATTTGCAGACTTTAAATGGAAACCCATCTGGCTGGAAGGAGATGGCTTAGTGGTCTCCCTGTCAGTAATATGAAGCTAGACTAACTGGAGCCACCCATTTGAATCCCAATAGCCCTGAGTCATCCTTCCAAAGTACATAAATCGAATACGGCGCAGCTCATTGCTTGGTGGCAGTCTTCTGGCTGAAACCTTAGACGCAAAGCTACATCTAGACTTTAAAGATCCCATAAACCTTTCTTAAATGTAGAAGTTTACACCAGTACTCTAAGTTAAATTTCTTTTATATGGCTCAAATCCCAAAGAAATGAAAAACTTGGCTATGAGTTCATGTGGTCTGTACATTATCATTAATGACAGTAGAATGCTTTGGGCAGTCCACATGTATATGGCAGGTCTCTTTCCAGTCATTTTTGTTGATCATTCTTCATATGAAATGTGTAATTCTGGGTGTTAATTCTCAGCACAGTTGTGAAAAAATGAAGTCAAGATACTTAGATTCTCAAAAGAAACTCCAGGAAAAACTCCTGGCCTTTGTTACTAATATGTTACTCCTGGACTTATACCAATTTATAGCTGGCTAATAGTAGCATCACTTCTTAGCCTTTTGGCTAAGATCAAGTGTAATGACTGTTCTTATCGTATTAATATAGTTGGTTAATCTTAGTTTTAAAGGACCTGTCTTTTCTTCTACTTCTGGGTAGATGTAAATAATATATTATTACTTCCATGTTATGGACCAGGTAACATAATAATTAGCAAAAATCTGTGGTTTTCCTTTTAATTGTTGGAGAAATATTTTTATTTTTTCTCAAAGATTTTCTTAAACCTGTTATGTCCTTATGATTTCTAAAACTTAGATAATTTTAAGCAGATGAATTATAGAATTTACAAATTTCAAAACAACAGGAAAGCAGAATGTTACCAAATCTTCTCGGTTTTGTGACTCTTGGTGGGAATTTTCCCTGATTGAATTGATATAAAAAACTGCTAGAAAGCCCCAGAAATTTGACTCTGGTGGAGACGTATGTTCAGTGAAGCTCCAAAACATGCTAAAGTCAGAATTGGAGGGAGAGACTGTTGGAACTGTGAAGACCTATTCAAATAAAAATTATCAGTAGCTTCTGAGCTGTCATTTAACCAGCATTTGCTGAGATGGATCCAGTGCCGAGTAGACAAGACCTAGTAGCAGAGGTCCCTCTAAGGCCCAGGAACAGTA